CAGAGTCGGGTTCCTCATGGGTTCCTTCGAGGAACCCAGATCGGGTTCCTCTGGAGGAACCCAGAGCTCCTGTTCTAAATTTTTTTTTTTCGGTGGGGACACGGGGACAAGCCGGGGGAAAAGTCCCATGCAGTGGGTTCCACTGCACACGTGGCGTCCACATGTGCAGAAAAGAAGCCACATCATCAAAAAGTAGATCCACATCTGAACCTAACGAATAAGGAAACGCCGCATGTGCTACGTCAATTTTTAGGTGCTACGTAGTGCATTTTTTAACGGTGCCGTGACGGTCCGTTAAAATATTGGGTTTTCACGGGTTTTGAAAAGTGAAATGTGTGAATAAGGAGGAAAAATTCTTGAAGGTGTTGACCGCGAAAAAAAAATAAATGGAGGATGCAAATAGGGGCTTTGGCCTTTATGTAATATTTAGTGTTAAAAACAAATTTTATTTTTAAAATTTTTTATATAAATTAAATAATAAAATATAATAAATATACTTTTAATTTATAATTATAAAAGCATGTATTAAAAAGACCTTTTGATTTAACTTTGTGTTGGAGTAACGTCTTACAGGCGGCATGCTTTAAGTTTTTTTTGCCTTACATTAGACTTTTATTGTTGAAGGTTGTTCGAGAGTGAGAGAATGGCGGGGATGAAAAGGAAGGAAAACATTTTTTTAATTTAATTATTTATTTAAATAAATAAAATAAATAAAATATAATTTCCCTCTCTTTCTTTTTTCTTTTTCCTATTCCTTTTCAGCCCCAAATACCAAATTATTTATCTTTTTTTGGCAAAAACCTTTTTAATCCTCTAAGTTTATCTTAAATTAACATTTAGACCCCTAAACTAAAAAAGGGTGCAAATAAACCCTCCAACTTTTTGTTTTGTTAAACTTGAAGCCAAAGTGCTAACATTTTCATCAAAGGAAAACCCTTCTAATGCTTATCTTTTCACTTATAAAACTCGAATTTTGGAATTTTATTTAAAAGAAATTGAACTTCTTTCGCTTAAACTCATGGGTTATTGATAATTCAGTCTTATTTTTCTAATAGAGTTTTCTTAAAATAAACCAGAATATGAAATTTAATTATAAAATAATTATATATTTCATTTTAATTAACAAAAGTTGAAGATACAACATATTGTTTATGATTCATACATTACAAAAGAAGATAGAGAACATAAATTTCATAATTTAAGGCATTTTTTAACATATATAACAAAAATCTATTAAATATCATAGATTAAACTCTAAATTTTGTTAAAATATAATAAAAAATTACCAAAACAAACACAATAAAAAAAATTCATCTACATCTACATGGAATAGTGCTACATTAGTATTTACATCTATGTAGAATAGTGGAAGGGGAATAACAAAAAATTTAGTACAAGTCAGATTATAGCTATTTGGGTTGTTAGTGATAAGGGTTTATTTGCACTATTGAGGAGTTGAACGGCTTAATTGCATCATCTTTAATTTAAGGGCTTAAATATTAATTTGGGGCAAGTCTAGGGGCTAAAGTTAGGTTTTTGCCTCTCTCTCTCTCTCTCTTCTTCTTCTTTTTTTCATTAATGGAGTTCCGTCTCCTTTCCACTTCCCTTAAAGTTCCATGCTCTTTCTTTCCACCACATGAACCGTGACAAAGT